AGTGGCCACTTCCTTTTCATTAGGTATGCAATATGTGAGCAGAGATGGCTTGTATTGTCTCTGGCACCTGGGTCTCAAGTGGGAGCAGAAAGCAGCATCCAAATGATAAGAGGCAGCAAAGAAAAGACTCCATGAGTATGCTGCTGCACTTCCACTGTCCAGCTAGTAGGCTAGATGTATGTTCTGACCAAGATGTACAGCTGATGTGGTGGCAGAGGGTCTAAATGTGCTGCTTTGGAGAGGTGCCTGGAAAGCAAAACTAACAGCTCTAACAGATATATTAACTTTATATATAATCCCTTAAATATCTTTCAGCCATCCGAGTTTCCGTGGAACTATCCAAGAATTTGAACTAAACTCTCACAGACCCACCTTATGTCCCAATGATTCATGGTAGGGACCTGCTGATCAGCTGTGTCCAATCACAGTTCAGAGCCCTGTGTTGACAAGCAACACAGGGCTCTCTACAGAATGAACGATCCCTTTCTTTCTGCTCCCTGCAAAGCAAGGAGAAGGAACAAAGAGATTTTTAATAAAAAAGCAGCACATAATACACACATTAACACTTGTTAGGCACACTGTTTACCCTTTGATTGCCCCTAAATGTTAACCCTTTCCCAGCCAGTGTCATTAGTACAGTGTATATGAAAAAAAGACTACGAAAGAAAGGATATGATACCTTTTCAGACGGATTTGGACAGACACATAATTTTAAAATCAATACATTTTATTACACAAGTTAGCCCTTAAAAAAGTATTTAGGGGTATCCAAGTGGTATCCAAGTACAGTTTATAGTATAATCACTGATTACTGTATTAGTGTCACTGGTGATGTCAGTGTCAGTTAGTCAATTCCCACCCAGTGTTAGTTATTCTCAGATTGCCCATTGATCTATTACAGTCCCAATATAAGTAGCTGATCGCTGCTATTAGTGGTATATAAATAAAAAAATTCCAGTATATACACTATAGTTGGTAGACACTTGAACTTTCACACAAACCAATCAATATACACTTATGAAAGACATGTAGTGGAATACATTTTAGTCTACATTTATTTTTTTTTTATTTAAATCTTTTTGTTGGATATGTTTTACAGCGGAAAGTAAAATATAGGTTTTTTTTAACACTTTTTCATTTATATAATTAAAAAAAACCTAATGGCAATCAAATACCAGAAAAAGAAAGGTCTATTTGTGTGAAAAAAATAATATAAATTTCATTTAGGTACAGCGCTGCATGACGACACAAATGCCAGTTGAAGTAGCACAGTACTCAACAGCAAAAAATGGCCTGTTCATGAAGGGGGTAAAAACTTCCGGGGCTGAAGTGGTTATTGGAACCTGAGATGAATGGACTGTTGCTTGTGTGAATAATGTGCTCTGCACTGTTTTAGGAAAGAACCAGTTAAAATCAGCAGCTACTGCGGGGGTAGCACTACATTACCAACACGTCGCACCACAATGATTGGTGGTACTGTGGGTTGTGTTATTGTCTACTGTACAATATATTGGGGTAGCATTCACAATGACTGGCACCCTGTTGCACACAGAACAGGTGTGTCAATACACGTTACCACACGTGTGAATGGGCCCACCATCTATTTTGAGTGCATGTCTATTGGTCAGTCTATTCAAAGATTACAAATAAAATATATCATTCCAGTTTCTATAATGAAATGGATAATTGGATTCCAGAAGGTAAAACAAGTGAATAAAAGAAGATAACAATTGCTGTTTTTCTTTACCTGACAGTTCCTTTTATTTCATATTATTGTAACTGTTTAGAAATGTTTTTATAATTTGGAATTTGTGACTGGCCAGCCTTCCATGACGGGTAAACTCTAATTTATAGATTACAAATCAGAGCTATCAGGGGAGTTATAATGAAGCAGGTAATTGCATCCCAGAAGGTAGAACAGGTGAATCACACCAGATATGGATTGCCGTTTTTCTCTTCTCATCATTTCTATTTGTGCGGATTTTAAACACTTTGAACGTGGGTTTGTTTATGCAAGTTAAAGTTGTTTTTTTTGGTTTTTTAATGTTTTAGCCGTGTAATTGCCACGGGCCAAAGAGAACCGATCAATAATAGGAGTTTAAAAGAGCAAAGTGTTTTGATGGCTGCCTGAGAAGAAAGGTGAGTTGTTTCTATTTTTTGAGGCGTAATTGGTGAAATGAAGCCACATGGACGCAGAGGAATATCTGCAAATTCTGCTCCTTTAGTTATAAATAACTAGAAGAAAATAAATCTTAACAGAGACTGTATCTGTATTTGGAATATATGTGAATTGATTTCCAATCCACTAAGCCAGGTACTAATTTTTGTCCGTGACCTCCCCCCATGGAGAGATTTATTCTTGCTTCCTGCTCCTGTGACACCAGGACAAGTAATAGGGGGAGGGGTTGTCACTAGGACAGGAAGGCATAGACTGTAATAAAAGGCATTGTCAGAAGTTTTAAAGTGGCACTATACTATGGTTTTAAAAAAACAAATTATATTCAAGTATTTATTCTGAACTCAAGAAGCCCCTATTATTGCTCTCAGCCTCTTCCAAATCTACAAACTCCTTTTTTTTTGCTCCTAAGATCCGAATTCCTGTTAGAGTGTGTCTACATTCGCTTTATATATTTCCACTGTATGTTGGAATGTAGCCACTCTCTGTAACTCCCTCCTGAAATGGACTATGGAATTTGTAGTGTGCTTAGAGCAGTGCACATGACCACAACTAATGGGCACTGCTCATTCCAAACAAACAAAAGTGAGAGGATAAAAAGGAGAGGTTTGGGAGCTCATGGGGGATGTTACAAGGCAGAAAGACAGTAAGAAAGAATTTCACGAAAAATAGATTACAGGGCCATTAAGTAGTGAATGTGTATGGATTATCTTTGCAGAATAAGAATATTGTTTAGTGTCCTTTAAATCCTTTTTTCTATTATCAAAAATGAATTTTTGTATTGGCCTCCTTGATGGGATTTCCCCTTGCTTCCTGCCTTGACTTAGAAAATTCCCCAATAGGGACACAGATAGAAAAACGATTCTAACACATGCCCTAATCCTTCCCCGGTCTATCCAAAATAAAATATTTTGCTGGAATTAGGCTTACACAATATTAAACCCAAACCCAAAAAGGTAATGACACTGGAGCGTCAAAGGAAATAAGAAGAATTAATAGCAGGCGTACGCTACAGGCCCCTTAACCTGAAGGATGAGGAGGAGTCAGATCTCCTGTCACAGTCAGGAGTAGCAGCAAAGCAAGGCGATATTATTATAATCGGGGACTTCAATTATCCAGATATTGACTGGGTAGATGGAAATGCTTACTCATCTATGACTTGACATTTCTTAAATGTCTTGCAGGACAACTTCAGTTGTCAGTTGGTGGATGCCCCAACTAGAAATAATGCTCTGCTAGTTCTACTAATTACAAACAACTCAGATCTGATTGTAGATGTGGATATAAGGGATAACTTAGGAAACAGTGATCACAGAGTAATTACATTCCACTTCAATCATAGCAAAAGGAGGCTCGAGGATAGTACAAGGACACTTTATTTTAAAAAAGCCACATTTTCTAAACTGTGCGTCATTTATATTAAATAAGATCAGATTCTAGAAACACTCATGAAAGATGGGAGAGCTTTAAGAAATAATAAATAAAGGTGTTAGCCAGTGCATTCCAATGGGCAACAACTAAAAAGAGCTAAGGTTAAGCCTGGGTGACTAAACTTTAACACAAAAAGGCATACAAAAGAGCAAAAAATGTTCTTTGAAAAATATAAGGTCGAGGAGTCATCATCCACTCCACACTACAAGGAATGCAATAAGAAATATAATCAGGGCATCTAAAGTAGACCACGAGAGACACATGGCAGAAGAGAGTGAAAAAAATCCCCCCAATTTTTAAAATATATTAAAAGACAGAAAGCGAGGTCAGAGCATATTGGCCTCATAAAGGATGACCAGGAGAAGTTGGTTACAAAGACAAGAAGGAAACTGGACTAAATGCATTCTTCTTCACAGTTGTTTCCAAAGAAAAGGGAAGGTTTAATAATCAACAATGTACTTTTAATAACACAACATGGAATGTACCCTTGTGGCTAACAGAAGCCAGTGTCCAAAAAAGACTTAACGTAAAAAAATTACCAGGACTAGATGGCTTACACCAGGGTCCTCAAAGAACTTAGCCAAGTTATAGCCAGACCGATATTCCTATATTTTAAGGTCAGCTTAGTGATTGGAATGGTACCAGCTGACTGGAAAAAGGCCAACGTAGTACCAATATTTAAAAGAAAAAAAAAATGCCAAGATATATTCCTGGAAACTACAAGCCAGTAAGTCTATTGAGGGGATGATAAGGAACTTTATCCAAGAATTTGCTTATGAAAGCAGTATCATTACTTGTAATCAGCATGGGTTTATGAAAGATCGTTTGGCAGACCAGTTTTTTAACATTCTATGAGGAGATGAGCTGTCATCTAGATAGAGGAAAGCCTGTGGACATGGTGTATCTGAATTTCACCAAAGCATTCAATATACCGTATTTTTCGCTCCATAAGACGCACCTGATCATAAAACGCACCTAGGTTTTAGAGGCAGAAAACAGGAAAAAAAAATTCTGAACTAATGGACTGCAGACATAGTACAGGAGATGACCAGAGACTGCGGACATAGTATGACCAGAAGTATGACCAGAGACTGCGGACACAGTACAGGGGATGACCAGAGACTGCAGACACAGGACACAGTACAGGAGGATGCAGACCAGAGACTGCGGACACAGTACAGGAGATGACCAGAGACTGCAGACATAGTACAGGAGATGACCAGAGACTGCGGACAGTACAGGAGATGACCAGAGACTGCAGACATAGTACAGGAGATGACCAGAGACTGCGGACATAGTAAAGGAGATGACCAGAGACTGCGGACATAGTACAGGAGATGACCAGAGACTGTGCGGACATAGTACAGGAGATGACCAGAGACTGCGACAGTACAGCGGAGACTGCAGACATAGTACAGGAGATGACCAGAGACTGCAGACATGCGGACAGAGACTGCGGACATAGTACAGGAGATGACCAGAGACTGCGGACACAGTACAGGAGATGACCAGAGACTGCGGACACAGTACAGGAGATGACAGGAGATGACCAGAGACTGCGGACACAGTACAGGAGATGACCAGAGACCAGAGACTGCGGACATAGTACAGGGATGACCAGAGACTGCGGACATAGTACAGGGGACAGGGGATGACCAGAGACTGCGGACATAGTACAGGGGATGACCAGAGACTGCGGACACAGTACAGGGATGACCAGAGACTGCGGACAGTACAGGAGATGATCAGAGACTGCGGACACAGTACAGGGATGACCAGAGATGCGGACAGTACAGGGATGACCAGAGACTGCAGACAGTACAGGAGATGACCAGACTGCTGGACTGTTGACTTTGGGGAGGTGGGGAGCGGGTACCTGAATTTGACAGGTACCCGCTCTTACTTCCGCGGAGTTGTTCTTTGATCTTACCTGTTCCTCTATCCAGCCACGCGCTGTCTACCCGGCTTCTGTAGTGTGGGCGCTCGTCGGACAGCCGGATGCCCAGTGCGCATGAGCGAGAAGCGCTGTGCTTTGTGATTGGTCCGGCGGCTTCTGGGATCTGTCATGTGTCCCAGGTACCGCCTTACCATTCACAAAGAGCACCACTTCTTGCACATGCGCACTTGGCACCCGGCTGTCAAGCCCAGCGCCCACACTACAGAAGCCGGGAAGACAGCGCGCCGCTGGATAGAGGAACAGGTAAGGTCCCACTGCAGAGCTGAGTGGCCGGCCTGGTATTCTGACAGGGCGGCGGTGGAAATACCGGACCGGGCGCTCCATATTCGCTCCATAAGACGCACTGACATTTTCCCCTCTTTTTTGGGGGGAAAAAAAGTGCGCCTTATGGAGCGAAAAATACGGTAGTTCCCCATAAATGCTTGGTTTACAGTCTGAGGTCTGTTGGCATGGATGATAATGTATGTACCTGGATAGAAAAGGGGCGTGTAGTCAGATTGGTCTGCAGTTATAAGTGGGGTATAAGTGGGACCAATTCTGTTTAATTTGTTCATAAATGATGATACAAAGCTAAACAGGGCAATAACTTCACAGCAGGATATTGAAACTTTACAAGAAGACTTCAATAAAATAAAGGGATGGGCAACTACATGGTCATTGGTTAGAAAGGTTGAGTAGCAGCCTGGGCAATAGTCAATTGGGTCAAATTTGGGTCAGGTCTGAGAGACTCTTCAGATCAGTTCCTTGATACCTCCCCCTGCTCTAAAATCTTGCAGAAGATTCTAGAAGCAGTGGGCGGGGGTGAGGAGGGGCTTGGCTGCACTCTTAAGGGATCCAGACCAATCCACAAGCAGGAGGTTTGGCATGGGTCAGGAAAGCCCTTAAAAGTGGCTGAACCCCCCTGTGCCAGTAAAGGAAAAAGAGCACTCTGGTGGGAAACCTGATTAGCTCCTTACCTGGGACTGTTTAGTTTAAAGTGGGAGGCACTGGATTCTCTCGCCCAGGGATTTTCTCGGGCAGCTGGATAGGAAGAGGATTATCTGGGGTCTGGAGAGGCTGGAGAGCTCTCCAAGGGAGTTTCTGCTGTGTAAAGACTTGTGCATAGTTGCTAAGGGGTTTGTCCTCAGTTTGCAGTTCCATTGGGAATCCCGTATACCCCTTACCTCATCCAAGTTCAATTCCCCTAATAAAACAAAAAAAAAACAATCTCAAGGACTGCTTTACTGTCTCTGGAATGCAAATCTGTGGAATATGAGTGTTGCCTGACTATACGGGGACCTAAATCTCTAGTGACCCCTAAGGGGGTAGTGCTACACATGAGAAGCCTACATTAACTAGACTAATTAAACTAGATATGGTGCAAATTCATTGAGTCACACAAATAATCTGCAATAACATAAACATGGCAGAAAGCCATCAGTCATAGCTCTCTACGATACGCATAAAATAATATACTCACACATAAATCACAATGATTAAATCACAAGGAAAAAAAAATGGTGGGTTTTGTTAATTAATACCTCACATAATTAAGCTGCCGGTGTAAGATCAGCACTTTTTTTTTTTTTTTTACTGCCACAAAATAAAATGATAGGAACAATCTTTGAAATCGCCGGAATAAAAAGTAAAATTAAAGCCATCTATTCTAAAATAGTATAAACAGACCAGATATAATTAGCATCTCTTTTCAATTTACACCCCGTACGAAGTGTTATATATCAGCCCAGAACAAGATCGAGGCTTTTCTTTCGTTGTGCAATTACAAAGTGCCCCGCGAGCTGTGCAGAACGCTATGGATTGGCTGTCACCAAGATTGTGTACTGTCTACTGACAAGAGAATTACTTCTCATCCCGTGTGGCATGAATAAAGAAAAAAAAAAAATCACAGCTTTATTTTTCACTCTGTAACAAGCGCTTTCAATGTTTGTTCTTTTGATTTATCGGCCTCTCTTAAAACATAAAACACCATCTCACTTTTTCTGACATCCTCAAAGCTCTGACACCTATGCAGATGGAAGCAACGCCGGATAATTAGGACATTACATACAGCCTGAACCTGGGGTGTAGATCATGGGGGGCACTTTAGCTCTCTCAAATTATACATTTTGTTTACATTTTTTTTTTTAACGTGTCAAGGTCTGAAAAAATATGCCAACCATATCCTTGTTGAACTAATTCTTTATTTGGAGTCACAGTTTTTTTTTAACACTTGAAACACATATAGTGAAAGTATGCAGCAGTGTGTTCGCACAGTTCTCCATGCACGCTGGGTACTTTGATGACGCTGGTAACGTTAGCTGTGCAAAGTCACATTAAAAAGTGAGTTTTTCAGCTTTTTTTAGCATCTTTGCATTAGCGTTTAGTGGCGTTTTGCTGCGTTTTCCCGCGTTTGCAGTTTTTTTAGCGTCCAAAAATTTTTTTTTTCCTGCGTTTTTCAGTGTTAGAGCATTTTGACAGCTAAAAAACTCCTCTAGAAACCCATTAGTCCTGGGTTTTTTTTTTTTCCAGCCAAGAAAACATCCCTGCCAAAAAACATTGATTACAGTCTATGGGCTCATGAACTCTGCAGCTCCTAAACTGATGTTCAGGAGCTGTTCAGCGTTTTTTTTTTCAGCAGCTCCTGAACTCTCCCTAATGTTTTCCTATGTGTCCATGCACACATCGTCGTTTACAGGCAGTTGAGTTTACAGTCATTTTTTGAACACACCAAACTTGCGTTCAGGAGTAGATTTTACCGGTGTTTCAAACGCCAAATGCTTGTAAATGTGTGTAAACGCGGCTAAACGTGCTTAACCGCATATATAAGCATTTGCTTTTAGAAGCTTTTTTTTTTAACTGTTCCATGTCCAGATGCTGTCCAGAGCCTTTTTCATCATCAAAAATGCATGCAAAGCGTTTTCCATGTATTCAAAATGGACCCGGCACACCAGCGCAGTCAGTTCCAGTTTTCGCGTGAAGGAAAAAATGGTAGAACGTGCCGCATTATACTCATGATGGGATCCATAGTGAATACAACCAGAAAAGACAGGTCATCTCAACACATACTGCTCTCTCTGCTTCTGCTCTCTCTATTTCTCTCAAAATGTCTGAAATAGTTACTGTTCTACTATTTTTCACTGCATTCTGAGCATTTGGGAAGGTCTCCTGAGGTTATCTTTAAAAATGCTTCTAAATGCAAATGCGCATAAACGCGGTATGCAAACGTGGCTAAACAGACATTTTTTTAACCTATGTTTTCCAGCAGTCAGTTTCCATCGTTCAGAAGAGTTTTCCAAACGCCCCGTTTACATGAGCCCTTACAGTCATTTACAGGCAGCTGAATGTACAGTTGTTTTTTTGAATGCACCAAACTTGCGTTCAAGAGTACATTTTACTGGCGTTTCAAATGCCAAACGCTTGTAAATGCATGTAAATGTGTTTAACCACGTTTAGAAGCGATTTTTTAACTGTTCCATATCCAGATGCTGTCCAGAGCCTTTTTTCATCATCAGAAATGCATGCAAAGTGTTTTCCATGTATTCAAATGGACCCGGTACACCAGCGCAGTCAGTTCCAAGTTTTGCGTGAAGGAAAAAATGGTAGAACGTGCCGCATTATGCTCATAATGGGATCCATAGTGAATACAACCAGAAAAGACAGGTCATCTCAACACATACTGCTCTCTCTGCTTCTGCTCTCTCTATTCCTCTCAAAATGTCTGAAATAGTTAATTTTTTTTACTGTTTTTCAGTGCATTCTGGGCATTTGGAAGGTCTCCTGATGTTATCTTTTAAAAAAGCTTCTAAACGCAAACGCACATAAACACGGTATGCAAACGAGGATAAACTGATGTTTTTTAACCTATGTTTTCCAGCAGTCAGTTTCCATCGTTCAGAAGAGTTTTCCAAACGTCCCGTGTACATGAGCCCAATGTGTGCATGGACACATAGGATAACATGCTGGGGGGTTTACTAGCTGTAGGAAAAAATGTCAAAAACCAAAAACAGCCGCTGTAAAAACGTCCCCTGTGCAGGAGGACTTACATGATAGTTTATGTTTTTGGGGTTTTTTAGAGATGTGAAAGAAGAAATCGGAAATTCAAACTAGATATAACATTTAATTAAATAATAACAGAATAAAGATATCAAATATAATAATATTGAAAAATGTAACAAAATACTTAGCTATGCCTTTGGCCAGGGAGTCCCCCGTCTCCAGCTTGGCACGACGATCAAACCAGGCGCATGAATGAAGCAGCCCTGGAACCGGACTAGTTTATTCTAATTTTAACTGTGGTATATACATGACTATTGGGTAGCATTGGGCCAATTGTAAACCCTGAATAGCAGTATTAACTTTTAACCACTTGCCCTCCAGAGGATTAACCCCTTCCTAACCAGGCTATTTTTTGCAATACGGCGCTACATTACTTTAACTGACAATTGCGCAGTCATGCAACACTGCACCCAAATGAAATTTACATCCTTTTTTTTCCTACAAATAGAGCTTTATTTCCGTGGTATTTGATCGCCTGTGCATTTTTATTTTTTGCGCTATAAACAAAAATAATTCATAATATTGAAAAAAAAACTATATTTTTTACATTTTGCTATTAAATATGCAAAGTAAAAAAATTTAAAAAATCAAATTTCGTCATAAATTTAGGCCAAAATGTATTCTGCTAAATGTCTTTGCTAAAAAAAATCCCAATACGTGTGAATTAATTGGTTTACGTGAAAGTTATAACGTTTACAAATGGTGGCATATATACTGGTATTTAATAAAAAATATTTTTTTGTACTAGTAATGGCGGCAATTTGTGACTTATATAGCGGGACTGCGGTGGGCATTCTGACACTGGCTGAATGGACATCCCCAGTGACACCAATATAGTGATCAG